GAAGGAAGATGAGAAAGAGGAAGGAAGATGAGAAAGAGGAAGGAAGATGAAGGAAGAAAGGAAGATGAAAAAGGAAGGAAGATGAGAGAGAAAGATGAGAGGAATGAAGGAAGAAAGATGAAAAGGAAGGAAAGATGAGAAAAAAGATGAGAAAAAGGAAGGAAGATGAGGAAGGAAGAAGAAGGAAGGAAGATGAGAGGAAGATGTGAAAGAAAGATGAGAGGAAGAAAGGAAGGAAGATGAAAAAGGAAGTAAAGATGAGAAAAAGGAAGGAAAGATGAGAAAAAGGAAAGATGAGAAAGAGGAAGGAAGAGGAAGGAAGATGAGAAAGGAAGATGAAAAAGGAAGGAAAGATGAGAAAAAGGAAAGGCGAGAAAGAGGAAGCAAGATGAGAGGAAGGAAGGAAGGAATCTGGCATCATAGGAGATCCTCCTGTGGCTGAGGCCTGGCTGAGCTTCCAAGGCCTTCTGAACCTGAGGACGTGGTGACCTTCCAGACCTTCTAAGGTGGACCTTCCGATTAGCTCTTCTCCGGACCCCTCCTGGGCTGGGAGATGGGCAGCAGATTTTCTCTGTAGGCGTACTCAAGGATGGCCAAGTAGCAGAAGTAATACTGCTCGGGGGTCTGGATGCTGAAGGCGCGCTGGGTCCTCATCCTCACCACCGCCTGGTAGATGTTGAGGGTGCCCACCTCGTGCAGTTGTGACAGACAAATATCCAGTGCGCAGAAAGTACCTGGGAGGGAGGAGAGGAGGAAGGAAGGGATCACCCATCGGCCACCTCCCGAAACAAATCCCTCTTCGGCCCCAACTTCTTTGGAGCCTGCTTTTTGGTGAAAATATTGGGCTTCCAGGTACCCATAACCCCCAACCTGCAGGGCCTTGTGGGAGATTGAAGGTTGATTACAGGGCAGGGCAAACGGGTTGAAGATCGCTCCTCTGCATCCCAAAAATTTTAAGGAAAAGGAAATGACCTCCACTACCCCCACTTTTACAAGTGGGCAGAATTCTGACTTAGGCTTCCCGAGAGCCTGAAGGCAACTCCTGGTCCCGACAAAAACTTCTGATTAATTTACTGCGAATTCCTCCCAGAAAAGTCTTTCACGGGAGGATTTATAGTCACAGACCTTATCTGGCTTGGAGAGCTGCCAGGCCGATATCTGCCGAACTTGGCAAGGAGTCTCGGAGAGTCAGGAACCAATGAAGCGAACTAGTTGTCTCCTGCAAACTCCACTCCCCTTTCGCTCCTCTTTTATGTCCTCTGGGAGGGGCC